TATGTTGCTTTAATTTTAATAATAGAACCAAGAAAAAATGAAACAAAAGCATCCAACAGTGAATTTTCCCCTGAGGCCCTTGGGCTAGGTCCCGTGGGAGTCTGTGACGTGTCCCAGCGGCCACTGGTCTATAAATAGGAGTGGCGTTAGCTCCAACTTCCTCTCTGACTCATTGGGAAGAGTGGCTGCTGACTTCTAACCGGTGGGGTCCTCATGCACCTTGTGTCTCACTAACATTTGGTTTTATAGGATGAAGATGTGACAATGCAGCCCAAGTGATTTTCATTTTCGAAATCATTTCCAGCTTCAATTTGCAGCTTGGTTTGGGGTCATCTCTTAAATTTTTTCATGGGGATTTGGGGGAAAATGTGTATTCTCTCCATGCGTATTGCATTTTATAAAAAAAAAAGTTAAAAACAAAATTCAACTGAGTAACTTGAAGATCTAATTGGCTTTATTCAGCAATTCATGACTTGGGCAGCATCCCATCCAGCAGATGGAAGGGAGCACCAAGAAGTAGTACAAGAAGGAGGGTTTTTATAGGCAAAGCGGGGGAGGGGGGAACGAGGAAGTTAAGGGTGGATAATTTCAGGCAAGGTCACCTTCCCTTAGGAAGCAGGGGTCTTATCATGCAGATTACCTTTTACCTTATCAGGAAGATGTGTGCTGACCAGGAAATTCTGAACTGATTGGTTTAAAATTCCACTCCGGGGAGAGGCTGAAACTACAATGAGGTCAGGTGTTAAGTGTTGGTGGCTCTTAGCACAAATGATTCCATTTGGGGGCCTGTTTTTTTTAACAACAAAATCTAAATCACCAATAGTGGGATTTAAGTCTCTAATATCGCCATCAAGCATTCCCTGTGGTCTACCCAATCTTGCCACAAAAGGACTGGCATCCCCTCCATGGCATGTTCTCCTTGCACACCCACAGACGCGGTGTCTGTGTTTCAGTGCGACGCTATGTGACTCTCGGAAGGCTCTGTGCATATGGGTTTTATGGCTGTCACATGCTCTCCTTGCCCACTTCACTTTTTTTACCTTATTTTCCACTTTCTCGGGTGTTAGTACTATGACACGTCCACTCTCGCCACGCCTGCACCCTTCCTGCGAGCTTTCCCATCACTTTGCTGCAGGGGTGTCCTTCGTGGATTCTGCTTTTCAACACGAAGGCAGACCACCCCATTTTGCTGACCCCTGTCCCAGCCAGCCCTGCCCATGTCATTCCGTGAGGCAGCTGTCGCGGGCACTGGTGGCTTCCCTGGACGAGCCAGGGTCCTGGATGACAAGTCCGACTGCTGCATCGGCCCTGGACAGCACCTTCTGGCCGTGGGTTAGAACCAGAGCTTGGCCACTGGGCCTCGAGGCTTCAGGGCCTGAACCATCCAGTGCTTGGGGGAGCCCCAGAGGGAGGAGCATGTCATTGGCGGGACATCCAAGCCACCACCCCCCCGCCCCCCGTGGGAAAAGGTTGCCCAACCAGACAACCTGACTGGATTCTCTCAGCCACCCCACCCACCTGCTGCAGGGATGGGGTCAGGCAGTTCTCGAAGCTTGTGGGCTACCCCTTCCCTCAAGTTCAGAGAGTACATCTGCTGGCTCATTTTCTTCTTAGCAGGGTTTTTCCCTTTAAATTATAAGGCTGGGGGGCGCCTGGGTGGCTCAGTCATAAGCCTTCGGCTCAGGTCACGGTCCCAGGGTCCTGGGATCGAGCCCCGCATTGGGCTCCCTGCTCACTGAGAAGCCTGCTTCTCCCACTCCCACTCCCCCTGTTCTCTTTCTCGTTGTGTCTCTCTCTGTCAAATAAATAAATAAAATCTTTAAAAAAATACATTACAAGGCTGGTAATGTCCTGCCTGCGATCTTGCCGTATAACTTTGCAATATGTCACCACTGGGGGAACCAGTGAAGGGGCACTGACTCTGTGTTATTTCTTAGAACCGCAAATGGATCTACAGTGATCTCAAAATAAAAAAAAAAATTTACCACAAAAAATAAGGCTGATAGAATATATAATTAAAGAAATAGCTGCCCAGAAGTTAAAAAGTTAGACTATGCAGTGGAGAGCACTTTATTTTGCTGCATGCAGGGAAACCGTTCACATACCTCCCTTAGAGAAGCCCTGAAGTCGGAGCTCTCCCGCACTGCCCCTCCTTACAGACCCTCACTTTACTACCCCAGCCGCGGGAAGGTCTTCTCCTGGCCCTGCAACCAATCAGCCAATGAGAGACACTCACAGCCCAGCCAATCAGAAACCACCACCACCTGGCCCTTCCCTTCCTCGGATCGATTTTCCTTCAAAGCAGCCCCTCCCACGTTCCTCCTTTTTCTCGGTAGAGCGACTTTCCTATGTTCTCTGGACCTGCCCGTGGTGTTAGGACTTGCACGTCCTGAATTTCCAATTTTTCTGCTGTTCTCAAATAAACCCATTTTGCCGGGTTAGAAAGTGGCCAGTAGTTGCCACTTGGTTACAATGCTTTTGTAACAAATACCCCAAACTCAGGAGTCAGCAGCCGAAAGCATTCTTTCCTATCCACCCATCTGAGGGGGGCCTGGAGAGGGGCCTGTCCGGGTGCGCTCTGGGCTGCAGTGGGCTCCTGTTCCTCTCCAAAGGCTCTCGTCCTCCTCGGACCGGTGGCCACCATGCCACCTTCTCAGAGCTCGAGGCGATGGGCCTGCCATGGGGTGTGAGTGCGGGGGAGTGGGGCAGGGCACTGGCTGTCACTGCCCCACATAGGACACCTGCTGTTCCCTTCCCGGGAGTGCATCCCATGGGGCGGCTGCCAGGGCCCTGGGCATGACTCCTGCTCTATCCAGGCAGACCTCCTGGTCATTCCTCTGTCTTTGCATCCCCCTAGATGGATGAGGCCTAGGTCCTGCCCTTGGGCATTGGGCTTTTGCTGCCCCATCTCCCACCCCGGGGGCCCTCTCTAGGGGGGACGGTTGGCAGCCAGTCTCCCCATCCTCCCCTCCCCCATGAAAGTTCAAGGTAAACCTCAGCCAAGCGGAGTCTGGAGGCTGGGAGGGCCCTGCCACTCAACCCCAATCACAGGAAGAATCACAGACCCCACAGAAGAACGCTCCGCAGGAGAGAATCACCCGCGACAGGCCCCAACAGCAGAAGTTCACGGAATCCCCTACAAGAAATCAGCCACCCCTGAAACTCGGCCATCGGGAAACCGAGAAACTGTCATCACCCTGAACTCTTGCTTTTCGCCAGTGGACTTCCGTCCAAAACAACCCCTCCCAACTTCCTCCTTCTTCCCCATAAAATATGTCCCTCTTCTTTGTTGGACTTGCCAGAGCTTGCATGTCCCAAACGGCAATTGGCTGCCATTCCTAGATCAACTCATTTGTGCTGATAAAATAACTGGCTGTTTTATTTTTAAGGTTAACACCTCCTTCTGCATGCTTCCGGTGGGCTGTGGGAACTGCAACTTCTCCCCCCTGCGATTTCCTTCCTGGGAGCCTGAGATGGGTAGAGGAAGGTGGGAGCCAGGGGGCCAGACCTGACCTCCCCTCCCTGGGGCTTCCGGGGTTCCTGGCTTCCCCTCCACCCCCAACCACAGCCTGGCTGGTTCTTTGTCAGTCTTGAGAGCTGACTGGGGGACCCAGGGAAGCGCCCACTGGGACTCAGGCACTAGGTGCATTTGGGTAGGGGGCCTGCTGTGACCCCAAGAGCAGGTGTCTGGCCTTGTTGGCGTGGTAGGCAGCCACCAGACCCAATGTGGGTCGGGGTGAATCCTACAGGTTGGCGCTGCGTAGGGGGAGGGGAAGTTCATCAAAACCCCAACAGTTCTGTCCTGCCTGGCACAGTGACCAATGTCCCTGGCTTAAGCTTGCGAGTTAGCCAGAAAAGGAACGTTTAAAATGAGCCAAAAAGAAAAATCACATGAACTTCTAGCCTGGGAGGGCAGGCGGGATAAGCCCCAGCAGGGGTCAGCGGCCGGCACTCCTCCAAGAGGCGGTCACAGCTGGTAAGGGGGCAGGAGTGCCTCGCTCCAGGACTTCTGCGACCTGCAGCCTGGGCCAGTAGGTGTGGGTAGGTTCCAGTGGGCTCTGGAAGGGGCCTCCCAGTGGGGGCTGCACGAGGGGGTGGTCCAATTGGCGTTCTGGGAGGAGTGGTTCGGTGGCGGCTTCAGGGGAGCGTGGGAGGGGACAGGGGAACAGACCAGAGGGCTGCATGGGGAGGCGGGGGCAGGGGGAGGTGCGGTCTGGTGGGGGCTGCAAGGGGGGCAATCCAGTAGAGGCTCCGGGTGAGGTGGGGGGTCAGAGGGACCCTCAGGACCCAGAAGGGGCTGCTGCGAGGGAGGGGATGGTCCAGTGGGGGCTGCATGGGGACGGAGCGTGGGGAGGACAGTCCAGCGGAGGCTGCGGGCGGAGGGGCAAGGGGATGGTCCATAAGGGGCTCGGAACGGGGCGGGGGGCGGGGGGACGGTCCAGTGGGGTCTGCATGGGGGCGGGGGAGGGGAGCGAGGGACAGTCTAGTGGTAGCTGGGGACCGAGTGGTGCGGCAGATGGACGACCCAGCGGGGGGCTGGGGCGTGGCGGGGGTGGGGAGACAGTCGAGAGGTGGCTGCATAGGGGGCGTTATCGGGGGGGGGGCCGTCCGGTGGGGGCTGAGGCCGGACGGGCAGACGCTCCGGGGGTGCGCCAGGGCCCTCAGTGCGGCGCCCCCGCCCCCGCCACGAGGCGGCCGCGTGACCCGGGGGCGGTGACGGGGCGGACCGGCGCGGGGAGCGCGGGCCGTGTAGCCAGTGCTCGGGCGGGGGCGTGGTCGGGGCGGGACTGGGGGCGGGGCTCCGCCGCCTTTCCCGGCAGCGCCCGCGGCCACCGGTCACTGTGTGTGCCGGGAGGGCGCGTGCGCCGGGTCCTGGTGGGTCCCCGGCCCCCGCTACCCACGCGCCCCGAGGATCGGCCGCCGGCCGCCCAGGTACTCCGCGAGGCGCGCGCTGGGGGCAGCGGGGCGAGTGCGAGGTCACGGGCCGGGGGCCGGGGGCTGAATGCACAGGGCGTGGGCACTGTCCGCGCGTGCAGGGCGCGCGCCCAGGGCGCACGGTGACCCATTCCTCCCAGCGGTGGCCGTGGGTCCCGCGTGCAGCGCGGCACCCTCGCCTCCGCCCGTGTAGGAGGGACTCGGCTTCGGTCGCCAGCAGCCTGCTTCTCCCCCGCCGCATTCCTCCCCGGCGCTCGCGGTGCGCGCACGCTCAGAACGCCTGGCTCGGCGGACTCACCCCCGGTCACTTCCGCACGGTCCGGCTAGTTGGGGTCTGAGCGCCGCCCCGGCCCTCCCCCGTCACCCTCGGACTCCGGGTGCCTTACGCGGGATGGGCAGGACCGCGTGCACTCGGTGCTGGCGCCCCGGCAGAACCACCCTGGCGCACGTGTTCCTCCGGCGGGAAGGCGGGGCGGCGGGGGCTTCCCCACCCCACCCAGCCGACCGCGTGGACCTTTGACGCGCCTCCAGTCTCCTGCCAGGCCCTTCGTCCGTCTCCCAACCCAGAGCTCTGTAGGTGTAGATTGACTTCATTTTTTGGAGGAGCGGTTGGAGCAGAGCGCTGGAGAGTGCCTGGGAACCTGGGCACTGCTTGCAGTCCTTTCCTGAGTGGACCCAACATGTCTGCAAGAGGAAACTGTCCCCAGAGATCCTGTGTGCTTTCCCCGGCCGAAACGCTTGTCCGAGAGTCCGGGGTTGTGGCGCAGGCACGCTCGGTGTGTTTCTGGGGTTCTTTACTATCTCGGGGTGCCCGCCCCAGCTGGCCTGGTCTCAGAGTACAAGTTAGAATCCGAGCCAGCTCAGAAATCCAAAATGCATCTAGAAAAAGCTGTTTTCCATTCTCTAAAGTGCAGGTGGGATTTCGGAGCTGCCCCCCGGTTCCCTGCAAAGTGACAGGCGTTTGCTCTCTGCAGGGGAGCCTGGAGGGCCCAACTGCAGCCCAGATGGAATCGGCAGCGCAGGACTTTCTGGCCTCAGGGAGCTGCCTCCCTCTGCAGGTCTGGGAGCCCGGAGCCCATGCCTGAGGGTTCCCGGATGGTGTCTTCCCCTGCTGCCTCTGGCTAGACTGCATTGCTCATTGTTTGCACTCTCCTGACTTGGTGCTACTAATTTCTTTCTTTTTGAGGGGGCTTTGGTGGATGTTAATAACTCCACATATTACAGTTATTGCTGCTGGGCAAAGGTGATCAACCCCTCCTGGGTGTTTTAAACTTGTGGGTTGAGTGTCTACAGCAGTGATTGCCAGGGGGCTTAATTTTACTCTTTGGAACAGGGAACTGTGTCAGGTGATTTGGGGATAGGGTGCAAGGGTTTTTCGCTTTTACTAAGAATGTAATGAACCTCCCTTGTTAACCTGGGAGAGTAGTAGCTGGTTTAAAACACAAAACAAGACAGGTGGTGTTGGGTTTTGGTTTGGTTTTGGGTCTCCAGGCTAACTAGGTCCTGGAGGGACAGAGCCCGGAGTAGCAGCTGGTGCTGCACTCCCCCCCCCCCCCCCCCCCCCCGCAGGACAGGTGCTGGAGGGTTGCAAGGAGGGGTCCCTGTGGGAACTGTTAGAACCTTCTCTGGGAGGCATGTGATGGGGTCCTCGGTTTTCTCCCTTGACTCTCCTGGTCGGTCGGTATTTCCTTTGCTTGCCCTGAAGAGGCCTGAGGTTGCATGGTGTTGGGCTGGGGTCAGCACACTTGCAGTCTGGGCCAGTCCTCCTGCCAGCCAGCTGCCCTGAGCTTGGGCACCTCATCTGCCTTCTGGGCTGTTTCTGCACCTGTGAGTGTGTGATGGGGTCTCCCCACCTTCCCTTCCTGGAGGGTGAGCCTGGGAAGGGCTCTGTGTTTAGAAGAGCGGTCTGTGTTTTCGAGAGAGGACTTTGAGTCACAGCCTCCTGTCAGGGTTGGCGATTACACCCAGCTCAGGTGAGCTGAATAAATGGACCGAGGCAGACGAAGTCCACTCCCAATGCAGGCAGGGCCCCAGCCTCACTGGCTGAGACGGCTGGCTTCTGGGTCCGTCGGCCCTTTTCTTTGAACCTGGGTCCCTGCCACGGGTGGCCTCTCCTGGGGAAGCTGAGTAACGGCCGAGGCTGCCTGCCGTGCCCCGGGCTCGCAAACACACTGGCGCCGGGGTGCTCCACATTTTTTCCACAGCAGCCGCTGTTAAAAATGGATTTCCAATCAGACTCTGGAGTTTTGGCCCCTGTTTCTGTGGCAGCCAGTGCTCCAGGGATGGGGCCAAGCTCCTCCCCTTGACCCTGTCCTGCCTGGCTCAACTCGGAGTGACCTGTTGTCCAGCCTGTTTCAGAAGTCTTTGAAAGTGCGCGTGCGACGGTGTTGACAGAAGTGTGGAAGATGCGCCTCAAAGATGCACATTCCAGAGTGGACACAGGCCTCGTGTCCCCAGGTGTCTCCTTGTTCAGATAAACTTTATCACTAACCACCTCACGTGGGCTCTTGCTGTAGCCTGCAGGGCTAGCAGCCCCTCGGGGCCGCCTGTCCTTTCTTCTGGGAGACCACTGGGGGCACTTGAGCTGGGAGGGGTGACCAGAGGTCCACTTTGCCACATGTGCCGTGCCGTGGGACCTCTCATCTCGGGAATCTGGGAACTGCCCACGAAGGGAAGGTCCAGGACTGTGACCACCCCCCCCCCCGAGTTGGAGGAGGGGCAGATTTTCTAAGCAACACTCAGGAAAAATGTCTGAAGCAGAAATGCAGGTGCCCAATTTTGAAGGATCTGGTACCTTCTGTGCTTCTTGGCATTTTTCTCTGCCATTTTTGGCATGGGGCAGGGTGAGGCTCGGCCAGCCGTGGGGCAGTAAACGTGCTGTTTGTCCAGGGTGAGCATCTCCGTTCATGATTTTGGAGAGCGGGTCCTGGGCACCCAGGCTGAGGAGAGCTTGAGTTCCCCTTTCTGGTGCCCGATGCAGTGGGCGGGAGGGCTGCTCTTCCGAGGAGACTCCTGCTGGGAACTGGAGACCTCAGGTGCGCTGGCCCTGTGGGGGAGCCCCACGCCTGCGAATGGGCTACAAGTGTAGAGCGAACACAGTGTGGTCCCCAGAGGCGAGACGTGTGTGTGGGACACCGAGCCCAGGGCTCAGTGAGCTGTGGGGACACAGGGGCCCTTAGCATCATGTGCTCAAAGAACAGGTGGCCTCAGAGGCTTGGGCTTCTCCCCAGCAGCTGGGGGAGGCCTCTCCTTCACTCCCACCATTATGAAATGTGGGGGGGGGGCTGGAGGACTGGGGGGGCTGGGGGATTAGCTCGTCCCGCTTGCGCCCTGCACTGGGCAGTGTTCCCAGGTTGCAGGGATGGAGCTGGGGGTGGGCTGGGAGGGAAGGGGCTCCCTGAGACACTGTCTCTGCAGACACTCCCCCTACCCTGTGAGCTCTCGGGCCAGCACCTGGGGCGGCTCCCTGCATGCCTGTCCTTCTGGGGTTTGAGGCTGGTCTACCTCTGCTGTGACCCTGGAGGACTCCTGGGGGCCCTTCTGAGCACTGGTTGGGGCGGCCATGCCATGCTCCCTGGGAGTACTGGATGCGGAGCTCTGCGTGTCCGTCCAGGAATCCTGAGGCAGTGTCTCCTGGGGTGCTGTGCTCTTCTTTCACCTGCTCAGACATGCCTGTGGGACGCGTTAAGGTGCAGAGTCCTGGGCCGTGACCCAGACCTTCGGATAGCTGCATAGGGCAGAGCCCAGAGCTGGAGTTTCTGACAGTTCTCAGTGTAGTGTAAGAAGCACTTCTCCTCGGTTTCGGAAGCTATAGGAGTCCAGGATACAGAACAGAAAACGTTAGTGTGTTTGGTGCTGGTGTTTGAAGCTTCTGCCATTGCCCCAGGATTCAGGGTCCACCAGGTCAGGGAAGTTCCCATTGCTTCTGGAGATGACACCTTTTGAACAGGAGGGCCAAGTCCTCGGGCTCCTGAGGATGGAGGTGGGGGGTGGGGTGGGGTGGGGACCCACTCCCGGGGACCCCGGGCTTAGGTGGATTCTTGGCTGTTCACCCCGTGCTGGAGAGCTTAGCTGGGTGGGTGTGGGGTTGCCCTGGCGTCTGGGGAGTGTACCTGGGAGTGGGGAAGTGAGCTTGAGGGGAGTCTTCGGGCTGGGGGTGCACCCTGAGGTGTGAGTGGTTCTGCCTGTGGCAGGCCCTGGGGCCCTCCCTTCCGTTTGTGCAAACTCCCAGCGGGTTTGCAAAAGTGAGTACCAGTCTGTCCTCGGGAGCCCTTGGCATGCATCCCTGATAGGACAGTTTCCTGCGGGGCCCCAGAAGGGGGGAACAGTCCTGCTCTTTGGACCACAGTTCACTTTGCTGAGGCCCCAGGCCTGGTGTGAGGACTCCGTCTGCCATCCATGGTCCTGGGTGGGAAGGGGGTCCTCTGCAGTCCCCTGGCTTTTCTGGGCCTCATCCTGGGAGGAGTGTGGGAGCACTTCCTGCTGGGATGGTCTCTGAGCTGCATGTGCAGGGAATCTGGTGGCTTTTCCTAGGGGTCCCTGGACCTGCCAAGCCCTGCAAAGCTGGCCCCACATCTTGGGAACTTTTTGTGCCCACTGCTGGGAACTGGAGGGGGTTTCTCCACAGGTCCTCCTGGTACGGCTTCACCTGACACAATTCGTGGCTGCTTGCTTTTGACTTACTCATTTATAGAGGAACTTTATATCAATGCCGTAAACGCAAAAGCAGTATCACTTGACATACAGAAACAGTAACAGAGATAAACAGTGGAAACGTGCAGGTAGATCTGATCCCTGGTCCTCTCTGTTAGAATAGGTTTAGTGGGTTTTGGAAAGGTGCTGTTCACACCTGCATCAAAGGGAGCCTTCTGGACGGAGAGTTCTCCCCATGTGACCTCTACCGGTCTAACTAATGCTTCTTCTGGCTCTACCCAAAGTGCCCCTGGGTAAGGCTGCCCTTGGGGGACACGGGGCTGGACAGGGCCACCTGGCAGCCCACGCCTCTAGCTGCTTCTCTTTAGGGGAGCCTCGGGCTGCCAGGGTCATGAGCCTTAAGGTCTGGGCCTCTGTCCCATGTGGTCCCTTCTGTCACCTTGTCACCCCCGCCCCTGCCCCCGGAGGCTCCTGCCCTCCTCACCCACAGTCAGCTTTACCTGCAAACCCCATCTGCCACATCCCCAGTCTTGTGCATGGGGTCCCCCCCCCGAGGTTGCTGGGACGGCACTCCCAGGTTGTGGTTGGGGCCACCAGCCACCCTCGCTGTGGCCAGCTGTGGCCCGGCGTCCCAGCAGGCCTCTCCCAGCCCATACGCCCTGAGCCATCTCGGGGCCAGGTGACACTCCAGTAGCCCTAGCTGGGTGCGTGACACTAGCTGCGCCCCTGGGACCTCTCCTGGGGAGGGATTCGTGCCCAGCCCATAGCCACAGCCACCCCACTGGGAGCCCTTGAGATGAGTGTGCCTGAAAGACTGGACTTGAAGCTGTGTTTGGTTTGAGTTGATTGATATTTAAGGAGCCCCCGTGGGTGGTGGGGTATGGGGTGCAGCAACCTGCTGGCTCCTGGAGGTGGTGACAGGCTAGGCCGCGTGGGCCTCCTCCCCGTGTGGGTGTGGCCATTGAATCCTGACCACCTGAGAGAGCACTGGAGTTTCTGGGGAGGAGGGGAGTGGTCCGAGGGCTGTTGGGTGGGCTGCCCTGACCCTGGGCTTATCTTCCAGGAACGTCATCGTCTTGTCCGGGGCTGCCGGGGGCCTGGGCAGCATGGTGCCCTCCAGCCAGGCGGCGGAGAAGCAGATGCCCGCGGAGCCGGGGCCGGACCCTGAGCTCAAGTCCTGGAGGTGCCTGGTGTTCTATCTGTGTTTCTACGGCTTCATGGTGCAGTTGCGGCCCGGGGAGAGCTTCATCACACCGTACCTCTTGGGCCCCGATAAGAACTTCACACGGGAACAGGTGCGTGGGCACGGCCTGCGGGGGGGGGGGGGGGGCGTGGGCACGGCCTGCGGGGGGCGGGTGTGGGCAGGGGCGCTCCCGGCCTGAGAGCAGCTGAGCCTGCCAGATTAGGTGGCTGTGTGGTGTGGGGGGTCCTGCCCCCTACCCCTCAAGAGGCACCTTCACACGGAGGGCCAGACTCACTTCCTAACCAGGCCAAAGAGTGAGGGCAGCCGCTGAGGGTCTGGGGAAGAGTGCGGGGAACCGCAAGGGCTCGCCTGGGGGGCAGGCTTGCTTCCAGCAGAGACCTAACAGCCATTTGCCTGAAGAGAGAACCAAGGAATTTACTTGGCGGGAAGGACAAAGATCTCCTGGTTGAAACTTGACTAATAACTTCTACCCTGGGGCCGTAGAGGAGTGAAAGCAGCAATGGGTTTTATCCCTAGTGCTTTCCTTATCTGAAGAACAAAAAGAGCCGAAGGGCTGTTGGTAGATAAAATGCACCAGCTGGCCCTTCTGTCGGGGCTTCTGTCCGAGCTCAGGTCCCCACCCCACTCCTGCCCCGGAGCCTGGCCCCAGGCTGGCTCTACCTGTGCTCCCTGGTCCAGCTCAGCCCCCGCCCTCAGCCTCCGTCCCCTCCAGCGTGTCCCTGGGTCCCACTGAGCTGCTGGATTTTTCTGGGAGGCCCTGCCTTTCTCTGAGAGCCTGACCCCTCCCCCTTGCAGACCTTGGAATTCTTTTTTTAAATTTTTATTTTTTTTTAAGATTTTATTTATTTGCGAGAGAGAGAAGGAGAGACAGAGAGCATGAGAGGGGGGAGGGTCAGAGGGAGAAGCAGACCCCCCCGCTGAGCAGGGAGCCCGATGCGGGACTCGATCCCGGGGCTCCAGGATCATGACCTGAGCCGAAGGCAGCCGCTTAACCGACTGAGCCACCCAGGCGCCCCAGACCTTGGAATTCTTAAGTGCTCTGGCGTTGCTGTGCAAATGAGGCCTGACCCTCAGGGGCCCTACGGGGTGGGGGTGGGGGGCAGCTGGCTTCTGTCTGACACGTGCAGGCGAGTGGGGTCAGGACGGCCTCTGCAGCAACTCCCTACCGCGCTGCCCGGGGACACTTGTCCACACCCAGTCAGGCTGCTCTGACCTCGGCACACTCTAGGGGCTGAACCGCAGGTTCCCCTGGTGCTGAGGCGGCGGCCAGTTTGTCGCCCCAGAGGGAAATGCAGCTTCAGGCGGCCAGGGCACAGCCGTGCGCGGGTCAGTGTGCGGGTCCGGTGCGCGGGCTCGGACTCCCGGTCCTGCTGCGTGTGTGGCTGGCTGCGTGCTTCCCTCGCCAGCCGTGGGTCAGCGCCGCCGAGTCTCTGCCCATCTGATAGCCTTGGGGAGCCGGCTTGCTGTCGGCGTGTATTCCTTTGGTGTGGGTGGCCGGGCCTGACTGTCACCTGGCGGTCACCGTGCTTGCTGGGCCAGCCTCCACATCGTCCTGTGGGCTGTCTGCCTCGGGCTTGCCCTGGGGGATCCGACTGCCTGTATGTCACCTGTTTCTCCCGGTCTGGGCTGGTCCCCTCACTTTGCTCATGGTGTCCTGTTACCGGGGGGGGGGGGGGGGTGGGGGGGGGGTGGGGGGGGTGTTAAGTGTTGGTCCCGCCAGACTGTCCTTCATGCTTCTTTGCTGTGGGACGCCTGTCCTCCCTGCCTTAGCAGGTGCCTTGGGGAGGGGTCGGCTTGCTCTGTACCTTCAGGCGATGATTCCCTTACATCAAGCTGCCTGGGCTGAGTCCTGTGGTGTGGCGCCCGATGGGGAGCCCCCATCCGGGACTGCTCACAGCACTCCTCACAGGGCTGGCCCCACCTGTCGCCCGTCAGCCCTGGGATCCAGCCCTGGGATCGTCAGGTGCCCTCCTTAGGGAAGGCCCCTGCCCTGCCCGGCCCCTGCCCTGCCCTCGGGCGGGACTCAGAGCCCATCCAGGTGCTGCCAGGGATCGGGCTCTCGCGCTTCCTCCTGGGTTTTGGGTCCCCTCGTCCCGCTCCTGAGAACCCACTGTTCTGCATCCTTCCCGCCCTTCCCATGGCTCTGGCCCCCACCCCAGTTGTCCTGGCTGCTCTGGGGCCCAGCTGAGCCTGCCCATTCAGAGAAGTAGCTGCCCTGAAGCCACCTGGATCCAGATCCGGGCACAGTTCCTGTGTTTCGCCCGTCAGCCTGGACCTGGCCTGTCCACACACTAGGCTGTTGGGAAGGCATCCAGGCAACACTAGGCTCAGGCCAGTAAGAGGCTGTCCTTGTGCCAGTGCTGGGCCACTTGACAAATGCCACCTGCCCCAGGGACTTTGTGGGTCCCCACTCCCTAGTACCTTCCAAGTGTGACATGGGTCAGCCCTTTGCCTGCCAAGCCCATTGAGGATGCCGGCGGGGGGGGGGGGGGGGGGGGGAGGAGGAGGGGAGGAGGAGGAGGAAGCAGGGGAGTGGGGGGAGGAAGCAGGGAGTGTGGGGAGGAGGAGGCAGGGGGAGTGGGGGGAGGAGGAGGTAGGGGAGTGGGGGGAGGAGGAGGCAAGGGGAGTGGGGGGGAGGAGGAGGCAAGGGGAGTGTGGGGAGGAGGCAAGGGGAGTGGGGGGGGAGGAGGAGGCAAGGGGAGTGGGGGGGGAGGAGGAGGCAAGGGGAGTGGGGGGAGGAGGAGGCAAGGGGAGTGAGGGGGAGGAGGAGGCAGGGGAGTGTGGGGAGGAGGAAGCAGGGGAGTGGGGAGGAGGAAGCAGGGAGTGTGGGGAGGAGGAGGCAGGGAGTGTGGGGAGGAGGAGGCAGGGAGTGTGGGGAGGAGGAGGCAGGGGAGTGTGGGGAGGAGGAGGCAGGGGAGTGGGGGGGAGGAGGAGGCAGGGGAGTGGGGAGGAGGAGGAGGCAGGGGAGTGGGGAGGAGGAGGCAGGGAGTGTGGGGAGGAGGAGGCGGGGGCGGGGGGGGGGGAGGAGGAGGGGGCCAGTGGGTCCTCCTGCCTCTCTGGCCCCTTGGGCTCTGGCGGTTAGCCATTTGTGCAGAGATGTCGCAACTGAGGGGCCGCTTGATGCTCCTGGACACCACGCCCACTGTCTGGACCTCTGGGCTCAACCCTGGTAGCGCTGTTCACGCTCGTCCGGGACCACCTGGGGCACCCGTGGGCGGGCAGGGCTGCGCACACCCGTGGGTGAAGGCTGGGGTGCCGGGGTCCACGCAGCCGCCCAGAGGCCGGTGGGTGGTGGGCGCAGCACGGCCCGCTGCTGACCCGAGGCTGCACCGCGGGCCTCGGTTTCCTGACGTGGGGCCGTGGAGCCTGCTAGCTCTTGGGGCTGAGGACCGCCCGGGCCGGCTCGGGTGGTTCCGTGGCCCGAGTCACGCTTAGTGCCCTGAGTCAGTGGGTCCCCAGAGGGGCCGCGACCGCGCAGGGCCCAGCTGTGCCCATCGGGGGAGCCGAGCCACGGCCAGAGCCCCTGGGGGTCCGGTGGGGTTGGGTACAGGCCTGGGACCGCGTGAGGCTGGCGGCGGGCGGCCTCGCTCCGCACACCGGCGTGGCCCTCCTGTGGCCTCTGCGCTCCGGTCCCCTTTCCCTCGTGGCGCCTGCTCTGTGAAGCCTGTTGCCGGGCGCCTTTGCCCCGGGGCTGCCGCAGCTGGGTGGCGTGAGCGTCAGTCGGTCACGCTGTCAGCGCCAGGAGGACCCACGCCACGTTTCGTCTCGTGAAAGCACGCAAACCCGCTCGGCACACGTCGCCGTGCGTCCGGACCGTCAGCGGGGTGGCCCCGGCGTCGCGTCCTGCTGTGCCTCGGGGACCGTCAGCGGGGTGGCCCCGGCGCCGCGTCCTCCCCGCGGGGGCCCCCACCCTGGCACCGCGTCCTGCCGTGCCTCCGGGTGCCTCCGGGACATCAGCGGGGGCGGGGGGCGTCCTCCCCGCGGGGCCCCCACGCCGGCGCCGCGTCCTGCTGTGCCTCGGGGACCGTCAGCGGGGTGGCCCCGGCGCCGCGTCCTCCCCGCGGGGGCCCCCACCCTGGCACCACGTCCTGCCGTGTCTCCCGGACATCAGCGGGGGCGGGGGGCGTCCTCCCCGCGGGGCCCCCACGCCGGCGCCGCGTCCTGCTGTGCGTCCGGGACCGTCAGCGGGGTGGGCTGCGTCCTCCCCGCGGGGGCCCCCACCCTGGCACCGCGTCCTGCCGTGCCTCCGGGTGCCTCCGGGACATCAGCGGGGGCGGGGGCGTCCTCCCCGCGGGGCCCCCATGCCGGCGCCGCGTCCTGCTGTGCGTCCGGGACCGTCAGCGGGGTGGGCTGCGTCCTCCCCGCGGGGCCCCCACGCCGGCGCCGCGTCCTGCCGTGTCTCCCGGACATCAGCGGGGGGGGGGGGGGGCGTCCTCCCCGCGGGGGCCCCCACTCTGGCGCCGCGTCCTGCTGTGCCTCCGGGTGCCTCCGGGACATCAGCGGGGGCGGGGGGCGTCCTCCCCGCGGGGCCCCCACGCCGGCGCCGCGTCCTGCTGTGCGTCCGGGACCGTCAGCGGGGTGGGCTGCGTCCTCCCCGCGGGGGCCCCCACCCTGGCACCGCGTCCTGCCGTGCCTCCGGGTGCCTCTGGGACATCAGCGGGGGCGGGGGGCGTCCTCCCCGCGGGGCCCCCACGCCGGCGCCGCGTCCTGCTGTGCGTCCGGGACCGTCAGCGGGGTGGCCCCGGCGTCGCGTCCCACCCTGGTGCCGCGTCCTGCTGTGCCTCGGGGACCGTCAGCGGGGTGGCCCCGGCGTCGCGTCCCACCCTGGTGCCGCGTCCTGCTGTGCCTCGGGGACCGTCAGCGGGGTGGCCCCGGCGTCGCGTCCCACCCTGGCGTCGCGTCCTTCTGGGACCGTCAGCGGGGTGGCCCCGGCGCCGCGTCCTCCCCGCGGGGGCCCCCACCCTGGCACCACGTCCTGCCGTGTCTCCCGGACATCAGCGGGGGCGGGGGCGTCCTCCCCGCGGGGGCCCGGCGGCCCCGGGGCGCGGGCCCGTGGGGCCCTGCGGGGGCGCGGGAGCGCGGCCGCCCTGGCGCCGGCGTCACCGGCCTGCTGTCCACAGGTCACCAACGAGATCACGCCGGTGCTGTCCTACTCCTACCTGGCGGTGCTGGTGCCCGTCTTCCTGCTGACCGACTACCTGCGCTACACGCCCGTGCTGGTGCTGCAGAGCCTGAGCTACGTGTCCGTGTGGCTCTTGCTGTGGCTGGGCCGCTCGGTGCTGCACATGCAGCTCATGGAGCTCTTCTACAGCGTCACCATGGCCGCGCGCATCGCCTACTCGTCCTACATCTTCTCGCTCGTGCGCCCCGCCCGCTACCAGCGCATGGCCGGCCACTCGCGGGCGGCCACGCTGCTCGGTGTCTTCACCAGCTCCGTGCTGGGCCAGCTGCTCGTCAGCGCGGGCGGGGTGTCCTTCTCCACGCTCAACTTCGTGTCGCTCGGCCTCCTCGCCTTCAGCCTGGTCCTCGCCCTGTTCCTGAAGCGCCCCAGACGCAGCCTCTTCTTCAACCGCGACGCCGCCGTGTGCCGCGGGGCCGCGCCCTCCGAGCTGGGCCGCATGAGCCCGGGCGCCGCGCCGGGCCGGGCGCCGCGGGGGGCCTGGCGGGACTGGACGCTGGTGCGCATGCTCCGCGAGCTGGGGCGCAACCTGCGGTCGCCACCGCTCCGCCTCTGGTCCCTCTGGTGGGTCTTCAACTCGGCCGCCTACTACCTGGTCGTCTACTACGTGCACATCCTGTGGAACGTGGTCCACCCCACCACGGACTCCACCTCGGTCTACAACGGGGGGGCGGACGCCGCGTCCACCCTGCTCGGTAGGCCCGCGGCCCCACCGACCAGCCCGCCCCGCCCGCCCCGCCAGGACGGCGGTGACGTGTCCTGTCTCCGCAGGTGCCATCACCTCGTTCTCCGCGGGCTTTGTGAAGATCCACTGGGCGCTGTGGGCGAAGCTGGTCATCGCGGGCGTGACGGCGCTCCAGGCCATGCTGGTCTTCCTCATGTACAGCACCAGCAACATCTGGCTGTGCTACCTGGCTTTCGTGCTCTTCCGTGGTGCCTACCAGTTCCTGGTGCCCATTGCCACGTGAGTTGACCTGCGTGGTGGCTGTGGGAGGCCACGGTCTGGGAGGCCACTGAAGTGCCAGAGCCCAGAGCCGGGCAGTGGCGGGCAGCTGGAGGGCACACACCTTCCTCTTGCCGGTCGGGGATGGACAGACCGTCCGCACACGTACAGAGCCCTCCCTTCCAGAATGTTCTGTGGGGAGCAGAAGGGGTGAGTGCACGCAGTGCTGAGCTCGTTCGGTGGCGTGCGCTCGCTCGTGTCGGGAGGAGCGGTGAACCCAGGGTGCTCTCGTTTGGGCCCAGGTGTCCCGTTGTCCACAGCACAGCCTGTCCTGGCTTCCGTGACCCTGAGCTTAGTGCAGAGCCCGGTCCACGTGCTGTCCCCTCCGCTTCTCCCATGGAGGCTGCTTGGTGGCCGCAGTCTCCAGCCCTTGTGGAGTCCTCCTCCCAGCTCCCTCCCCTGCTTTCCAGGCCCCAAGCGCTGCCGTGGGCCCATCTGGGTGCACGAGGCCTTTCTTGTTCCCTCCCATTGCACGGCCGTGGCGCATGCACGGCCAGGGAGTGACCAGGTGGCCCAGCTCGCCGGCCGCCTGGGGCTGTCCTGGAGCCCTCGCATTCCTCACGCCCAAGGATGTCCCCAGAGCTGTCCGCCGGCCCACTTGTGCCTTCCAGAACCTTCTCCAGCCCGCGTCCTGCTTGCTGCTAAGATCCTCTGTGTGCTCCTTCGAACTGACCCTTCCATGAAGCTGATGCTACACGTGCTCCTACCACACACGCTCACATCCCACGTGCCCACGTTACATGCACGTAGGGGCCTCCTTCCCCGTGCCTCCCGCACCCAGCAGGTGGGCCTGCTCTGTCACCCTCCGGGGAGGGTGGGGGGCCCTCCTGGTCACCCCGAGTCAGACGTCTGTCCCCACTGCTTCCCGAGCTCAGGCGGCATCCCCAGGCCTGACTCTCCGCTCCCCGTGGCTCCCCTGCTTCCCGCCACACCACACGCTCTCTCAGCCGGCAGACGTCCCAGAAGCATTTTCTTGGCACGCGCCCCCTGTCCCGTCACCAAGACGTAGGCAGGTGTAGAGGAGAGAACAGGTGCCGCCTCCCGCCCGAGGCCTCGCTGCTGGCATTCGGGTGTCTGGCCTGACGTGACTCGGAGCTCGTCCCTTTGCCTCCTGCCCTGTCTGCTTCGCTGTGGGGCTCACGTCACGATGTGGGCGTAACCGGGCTCTTGCTGATGCCGTGCAGCTGGGCCCCAGCTAACGGGGGTGGTGCGTGTGGTATTTTCTTAGGACAGCCCTGAGATCAACTCCTCTTGCTGACGTTTCTTTCTCCGAATCGGGATGATGGCCTCAGGTGGCTCCCAGAAGGGGCCTGGCCAGGCAGGGCATGTGCTTTGGAAAGGGGGCGTCAGTAGATAGCGGGAAGTGCGTGGTGGCCCTGCAGGCCTTTCCATAGGGACAGTGGGGCTGGCTCCTCCCCGGTGTGAGCGGCCTGTTTGTTCTGCGGTTCTCTACTGCGTCAGCCGAATGCGGTCGGAGCCTTGTGCCGTGCCCACTGGCACGGCTCGGTTTGCTCCCACTCAGGGTTGTGGAGACACGGGGGACACGAGGAGGGGTGGCGTGGCGTTCTGCCATGCTGGGGACGTGGCCCGGTGTGGGTTTCCCTCGGACCTCTGCCTGACGCGCGCTCTCTCGCTCGGCGTGCTCTCCGGCGGGGGTCACAGAAGCCCGGCGGGTCGGTCTTGCTCCCACCCCAGACCCCAGCACAGCGGAGCCCCTCGGCCTCTGTCATCTTCTTGGAAGGCTTCTTGGGTATGTTTGCTCCTTCATTTTTCAGAGCTCTAGAATATTTCCTGTTCAGTTACTCATTTTTAGGGGCGCTTTGGGGATTTTAATGGGAATACCTTCACCTGTCCGTTTCTCTGCAGAGGACCGGGAGCTGAGTGCACGGTCACTCCTCATTTGTCTCACTGTCCCATTCCTAATTTATGAAGTCTTCAACAAAGAACAACTGTGCTTCTAGAACCCTTCTCACGATGCTCTGCCCGTTCTCATGAGGATGACCATCTCTGCCCCAGAATTACCAGGAGACGTTTTGAACATCCTCCTGGGGGTGCATCTTGTCCTTAGTCTCGGATTCACAGAGCCTGGGGCGTGTGCCCAGGAGTGGCGGGTGGCCTGGATGCCGGGAGGGATTTGCCGAGTCCCTATTGTACCGGGGTGCTTCTCATTCCCCTGCTGAGTCTCACCTTGGCCGCTTTCCCGTTCAGTTTTCAGATTGCGTCTTCTCTCTCTAAAGAGCTCTGTGCCCTGGTCTTCGGAGTCAACACATTCCTTGCCACCGTCCTCAAGACCATCATCACTCTCATTGTTTCTGACAAGCGGGGTCTAGGCCTCCCAGTCCACTCACAGGTGAGCCCATTTCAGCCTTGCTGCCTGGGGGATGGGAGCGTCTGGCCACCGGCATCTCCCACTCCATGGGTCTGGGACCATAGGTCCGCACTAGGGGGTGGGGAGTTGTGCGCAGGGTGGGCTGGGCACTTCCAGCCAGACACACAGACTGGAGCGGAGCAGGGAGGGAAGGGGCAGCCGGATGCCCTGTGACCTCTGAGGCTGGCCCAGGTGCAGTCCCCTCTGGAGGAGCTCTGACCGGCCCCCGTGCTCCCCATGCTGGCTGATGTCCCAGGAAGCATGGAGGCATGGCTGCGAGCCCTTTCCTTGTGTGGTCGCAGCTCAGTGCCCTCATGTTAGATCTCTGTCCTTCTGTCAACGCCTGTCACACCCAGACACTGGCTCACGCGCCAGCTATCTGCTGCATGCAGGACAGGAAAGTCGAGCCGGTGGGGTGCCTGCTGGCTCCTCTCCGGTCCCTCCCCACGTCCGACCCTGAGGGGGTTCTCGGTGTTTCTGAGCAAAGCTTGAAAGTTCCTGTTGCCTGTGAGGTTGGGGGACATTCACACATGTGACTCTGGGTGGTCTCAGCCACGGCAGGACCTGTCTGGGCCAGCTGGAGTTAGCCAGAGGTCAGGCATGCAGGAGGGACGGTAACCGGGCCCCTGGATCTGTGCCCTCAGCCTGGGGGCTTGCGTCCTCCATCTGCCTGGAGCCCGGGCCCCCCTGGGCTTGGTGGGCTCCACAGAGAAGTCCTGACCTCCGTCTGAGGGAGCTGAGTTGGCCCTGCCTCAGTGACCGCAGAGCTGACCCGGAGGAGGCGCTGGGCAGGGGCAGACCCTCTTGTTTAGAGACTGGCCTGTGGAGTTTGGAAGTGCCCTTGGGGAGAAGGAGGTCTGAACCACGTGCTCATGTCTGCAGGCTTCTGCAGGGCCCCCCAGGCTGAGCTCTGGGACTGTCCAGTGCGAGCAGGATTGGCAGAGCCCCCCACGTGGATGAGTGTGTACGGCGGGGGGGTGCGGGAGGGGCTGGGAGTGCGGCTGGGCCTGGGGGTGGGCAGCCTGGGAGCCCCCCCGGAAGCAGGTGGGTGGTCAGTTCGTGATTAGAAATGCTGATGGGATCCACAGGGAAAATAGCCCCTGCTCATCTTGCTCACTTTCCCTGTTTACAGCCCGTGTATCTCTTCATGTCATCCCGAGTGCTCTTGACCTTAAAATTAAAATAGCAAAAATGGGCATATTTGGGAATGACAAAGAATTGTAGTTCAGGACAAGCAAAACCGTAGGCAAGTCTGACCCATAAAGGAGAGGAACGATATTTTATGGGGAAGAAGGAGGAAGTTGGGGGGGGTTGTTTTGGACGGAAGTCCACTGACGAAAAGCAAGAGTTCGGGGTGATGACGGTTTCTCGGTTTCCCAATGGCCAAGTTTCAGGGGTGGCTGATTTCTTGTAGGGGATTCCGTGAACTTCTGCTGTTGGGGCCTGTCACGGGTGGTTCTCTTCTGCGGAGCGTTCTTCTGTGGGGTCTGTGATTCTTCCTATGATTGGGGTTGAGTGGCAGGGCCCTCCCAGTCTCCAGACTCCACTTGGCTGAGGTTCACCTTCATTAATTCTCATCGTGTTGAGAGGGAGCGGCGGTCAGACTGGAGACTCGTGGGAACCAGGACACAGCAAGTGGGGAGCTGGCCTGGGTTTGCTTGTTTGTTTGTTTTTTTAAAGATTTTATTTATTTGAGAGAGAGACAGAGATAGCAAGGGACAGCATGAGGGGGGAGGAGAGGGAGAAGCAGGGAGCCCAATGCGGGGCTCGACCCCAGGACCCCGGGATCACGACCTGAGCCAAAGGCAGACGCTTAACCACTGAGCCACCCAGGCGCCCTGGGTTTGCTTGTTTTTTAAGTTACGCTATTCTTGAGTAACCATACATTCGTATGCAGTGTTAGAGGTAACACAGACCCACGCCTCTTCCCACTTTCCCTGCTGGACACGCCCTGCGGGGCAGCGTCCCTCTGGGGGCCGACTTTACACAGGCAAGAGCGAGAAGGCTCTGCCCTCAGGGCCCTGCCCCCAACCCTACAGTCCCTCCACCATTTTTGTGTCTTCTCCTTTCAACAGTGTCACTTAAGTGGAATCGTGGTCTGTCACCTGTGGGATGGACTTTCTCACTCAGCCCGCCCCCCTTGAGATCCACGTGGGTCACCGTGCTCACACGCCCATGTGTGTGTGTGTCCGTCCCTCCCACCGTCCATCACCGTGTCCGTTGGGTGGTGGACATGGCTGGTGTACCTGCTCCCCGTGAAGGACTCTGGGTTGTTCCCAGTTTTTGGCTGTTGTGAATACACGTGCTTTGAATATTGAACGTAGGTCTTCATTTGTCTGGGACGAGTGCCCAGAGGAGCCGATCCTGACCCCCGTGGTGGTTGCGTGGTTTTTAAGGAGCCGCCAAGCTGTTTCCCCGGTGGCTGCCCTGTTTGGCATTTCTGCCGGCAGGTATGAGAAAGCCAGTTGCCCAGATGCTCAGTTTTGGTGTCGTCCCTGTTTTTCACTGAGCGTCTGCCCGGCGCTGGGTGGTGCTTGTTTGTGGTCCCGTTCGCGTCTCCCTGTTGGTACCAGCGATGCTCTGCCCTCGTGTGCCGGCTGCACGTCTCCTGGAGGGACGGTCCCTCGCTCTGGCCCGTTTCCTAATTGCATGGCTTATTTCCTCGCTCTTGAGTTTTGAGCATCATTTGTATGTTGTAGGTCCCAGGTGTTTGTTGGATTTATACCGGACCCTTGAACGACACGGTTTGAACTACATGGGTCCACATATACGTAGACTTTTTTCAACAGATAGAGTGCTATAGATGTGTTTTCTTTATGATTTTCTTAGAATTTTCTGTAGCTTACTGTATTGTAAGAATACGATATGTAATGTATATATACAGTGTGTTAATCGTGTTACTAGTAGAGCTTCCCGTCAACAGTAAGTTACCAGTAGTTAAGTTTTGCGGGAGTCAGAAGTCACACGTGGCACCCCAACCCCTGCATTTTCAAGGGTCACCTGTATGTGGTTCGTATGCATTCTCTGTAGCTGTAGCTTGTTCTTCTATCCGGACGGTTTTTGCAGAGCAAAATGTTTTAATTTTGGTGAGGTCTGATTCATCTGTTTCTCCCTTTATGGATCTGGGTTTTGGTGTCAAGCATAAGAACTTTTTATATAACCCAGGCTCTTGAAGATTTCCCCAATATCTTTTTTAAAGTTTTATAGTTTGGGGGTGCCTGGCTGGCTCAGTTGGAAGAGCATGCGAACTCTTGATTAGGGTTGTGAGTTCGAGCCCCACATTGGGTATAGAGACTACTAAAATAAATAAACTTAAAAAACAAAAAACGTAAATGGGGCACCTGGGTGGCTCAGTCGGTTAAGCCTCCAGCTCTTGATTTCAGCTCAGGTCATGATCTCAGGGTCGTGAGATTGAGCCCCACCTTGGGCTCCATGCTGGGTGTGGGACCTGCTTAAGATTCTCTCTCCCTCTGCTCCTTCTCCCCCCCTAAAAATCAAAATATGAAAAACAAAAGGAACATGAAGTTTTGCAGTTTTACACTGAAGTCTGCGGTCCATTCCGAGTTGATTTTTTTGTGAGGTGTGAGGTTTCCATCAGGGCTGCTTCTGTCTGTGGACATCCGGTCATTGCAGTACTCTTGTTGAGAAGAGTGTCTTTTCTCTGTTGAATTCCTGCTGTACGTGTGTCAGAATCAAGTGGTGCATGTCCGCGTGAGTCTGTTTCTGGGTTCCCCTCCTGCCCTTCTGCCATCACTGCAGCGTCCTGCTTTCCAGCCACATGGGAAGTTCTGAAATGGGGCAGACCGATTCCTTCAGCTTTAGGAAATGTTTTTTCAGAATTGTTTCAGCTATTTCTTTGCCTTTCTGTGTAAATTTTAGAGTAATATTGCCTACCTATGAAATTCTTGCTGGGATTTTGCTAGGAGTTGCAGTAAGCCCATGTCATTTCTGGGAGAATGGACATCTTTACTCTGTCGAGTCTTCTAGGCTGTGAACATGGTGCATCTCTCCACTTATTTAGGACTTTCTTGATTCTTTCAGCATTTTGTAGTTCTCAGCGTACAAGTATTATACCTGCTGTGTTGGATTTACACCTGAGTATTCCCTTGTTTTTTCAGCAATTGTGAACGATGCTGTATTTTTAATTTTAGTGTCTACATTTGCCCGCTAGGGCTGCCATATCAGAATACCAGAGACCCGGTGGCTTAAGTAGAATTTATTTTTCACAGTCCTGGAAGCTAGAGGTCTGAGATCAAGGTGTGAGCAGGGCTGGCTCCCCCTGAGGAACTCGTTGGTGTGTAGACATCATCTTGTGTCCTCACGTGGCCTTTTCCCTGTGTATGTGCCATGTGTGGTGCCTCGCTCTCCTTCTAAGGGTACCAGTCCTGTTGGGATAGGGCCCACTGTTAGGACCTCTTTTGACCTTAATCATCTCCTTGAAGGCCTTATCTCCCAATACAGTCACACTGGGGGTGGGGCTTTCACAAGTGAATTTTGGGAGGGACACAATTCACTTCATAGCAGTATCTGTGTGTCTGTCGTGAATATATAGAAATACAGTTGACACTTGAGTGTTAGTCTCTTACAGTCTTGCTGAGGCCATTTATTAGTTCTAGGAGGTTTTGGTCTTTGTATGTTTTATGTTTCCTGGTCTTGCCTTCCTGCGGCTGGCTCGAACTTTCTCTTTATTATTTCCTTCTACTTGCTTTATATTTGTACTGTTCGTCTTTTTCTAGGTTCTTGAGATGGGAGCTTAGATTAATGACGAGCCTTCTTTTCTGACATTTGCATTTAGTGCTATGCATTTCCCTCCCAATACTGCTTTAGCATCCCACAGATTGGTGTGTTGCATTTTCATTTTTGTTCACTCCAGTGTATTTTCTGATCTCTTGAGACTTTCTCTTTGACCTATAATTAGTTAAAAGGCTTTTGTTTAGTTTCCAAGTGTTTTGAGATTTTCCTGCATTTTTTTGTTGCTGATTTCTATTTTCAGAGAATACAGTCTCTCTGATTTCAGTCCTTTTAAATTGGTTGAGGTTTGTTTCATGGCCCAGGATGTGGTCTGTCTTGTTATATGTTACGTGGACCCTCGAAAGGGCTGTGAATTCTGCTGTTGTTGGGTAGAGTGTTTTATAAATTCCAGTTAGCTCCTGTTATTGATGGTGTTGTTGATTTGTTCTCTATCCTTGTGATTTTTGTCTCGTTCCATTGTCGAGAGAGGGGTGTTGGCATCTCCATCTTTAATTGTGATTTGGCTATTTCTCCTTTCAGTGCCGTCATGTTTTTGCTTCACGTTTGTAGCTCTTTTGTTTGTTGCACATGCGTTGGGAATTGCTGTGTGTGTTTTGATGAGTTGAGCTTTTGGTCATTATGGAATGGAATGTCTTTCTCTGCCTCTGGTCATTTTCTTTTCTCTGAAGTCTGCTTTACCTGATATCAACATAACCACTCCTGTTTTCCTTTAATTAATGTTTGCGTGATATATTCTCTTCTACCCCTTGTTACCTGACTGTATTGTTATATTTGAATTGAGTTTCTTGTAGACCACATATGGTTGAGTCATGTTTTTTAATCTATTCTGCCAACATCTGTCTTAATAAGTGGTGAATTTAGACCATTTATAGTTAGTGTAACTATTGATGTGTTAGAATTTATGCTGCCATACCATTTTTGCTTTTCTTCTATTGTTTATGCATTCTTTAGAATTTTATTCTGGTTTATTTGTTGTGTTTTTTGAGTATATCTCTTAGTGCAGCTTTTTTGATGGTGACTTTATGTGTTAAATGACTGGTCTGAGGGAAGTATGGAAATCTTACTTCCTACTATGTCATTCTACCTTCCACTGTTAATAGTGCTGTTGTCTTAAGTATTTTCTTTATGTACCAGTACAGCTCCATGAGATAGGGTTCTGACTTTTGCTTTAACTATCAAACATTTAGAAAATTCTAGAGGAGAAGGAAAGTCTTCCATTTACCCATGATTTGGCTCACTGTGTTCTTTCTCTTTCCTATTGGTCCAGGGTTTCTTCTTTATGATTTCCTTTCTGTTTAGAGCATCTCCTTTAAGCCATTCTTTTAGGGTAGCTCTGCTGGTGACAAATTTTTCTCTTTTTCCTTCTTCTGAGAGTGTCTTGATTCCTTTTCATTTCTGAAGATTCACTGGATATAGGCTTCTATGTTGATAGTTTTCTCTTTTAACTTTGAAAAATGTGTCCCTTCCTTGCGGTCTTTGTGGCTTCTGATGAGAAATCCACTGTTTTTCCCTTAAGGTGCCACTTTTTTCTGGCTGCTTTCACGATTTTTTCCTTTTTCTTTGCCTTTTGCTTTCAGAAGTTTAAATACAGTGTGTTGGCCTAGTTTTCTTTGGTTTGTCCAGTTTGTGGTTCCCTCAGTGTCTCAAATCTGTTGGTTTATGTCTCTTACCAAATTTGGGGAGTTTTCGGCCACTATTTCTTGAAGTACTTTTCCAGCCCTAACCTCTTTTCTTTTTGTGGGATTCACATGACACAGCGTCACATCTTCTGGAATAAAAGGGAATGAGGCTCTGCTTATGACTTTTTTCTCTGTTCAGACTTGGTGATTTCTGTTGTCCCAGCTTCCAGTTCATTGATTGTTTTCTCTGTCTCATCTGTTCTGCTGTTGAGGCCATTCATTGAGTTTTTAACTTGGTTATGGCATTTTCAGTTCTAACTGTTCTTTATCTTTTCTCCTTCTTTTCTTGGACGTTTTCGTCTGTTCCTAGTGTGTTACTGCTTGTTGAAGCATTTTCATCTTGGTGGCTCTAAAGTCTTTCTCCGATAATGTTAACATCTGCGTCATGATTCCGTTAGAGATCATTGTGGTTCTAGGTATGCTGAGTGAGTGACTGAACCCTGGACATTTCGGATATTATGTTACGAGATCTGGATCTAACTGAAACCTTCCAGTGTAACTGGCTTCTCCTGACGCTGCTCTACAGAGGAAGTTGGGAACATGTACCTTGTTACAGCCGGGTAACAGGCTCCCCACTCAGCTCTCCTGACTGAAGGGTGGATTGGGGGGCCCCTCATTACTGCTGGGCAGGGACGGGAGTTCCAGCTCCCCACCTGGCCTCCAGCCTCCCGCAGTTAGGGGCAGGGGTGCTTTGTTATCGCCTCCCACAAGGCCTCCAGTGACACCACTGGGGATGGGGTGTTCTTACTGCTGCTGGGTGATGGTGAGAGTCCTCACTCTGCAGGGCAGGTAGTTGGGGGTTATTATCACCTGGTGAGAGTGAAAGTCCAGGCTTTCTGTGTGGTTCCTACTGTGGTAAACTTCCCAGCTCCCCACTGTGCCTTCACCACCACCACCGGCAGGAGGCATGGCACCTGGCTGGAGTCTGGGGAGTGAGGGTGGGGTCTGGCTAGAGTCCGGGGAGTGAAGGTGGGGTCTGGTTAGAGTCCGAGGAGTGAGGGTGGGGTCTGGTTAGAGTCCGGGGAGTGAGGGTGGAGTCTGGTTAGAGTCCGGGGAGTGAGGGTGGGGTCTGGTTAGAGTCCGGGGAGTGAGGGTGGGGTCTGGTTAGAGTCCGGGGAGTGAGGGTGGGGTCTGGCTAGAGTCCGGGGAGTGAAGGTGGGGTCTGGCTAGAGTCCGGGGAGTGAGGGTGGGGTCTGGCTAGAGTCCGGGGAGTGAAGGTGGGGTCTGGCTAGAGTCCGGGGAGTGAGGGTGGGGTCTGGCTAGAGTCCGGGGAGTGAGGGTGGGGTCTGGTTAGAGTCCGGGGAGTGAGGGTGGGGTCTGGCTAGAGTCCGGGGAGTGAGGGTGGGGTCTGGCTAGAGTCTGGGGAGTGAGGGTGGGGTCTGGCTAGAGTCTGGGGAGTGAGGGTGGGGCAAAGTTTAAAAAAGCTCAGGGGACACCTTGCTGTGTTCTCGGCCTGCAGCGTCCTGGCCGGTGTGCCGCCCTCCACTTCGCTCAGTTACCTTCTTAAAGTGAGTTCTGTGGGTAGCGTCCAGGGTTCTAGCCGTAGTGGGGGGAGGAACTCAGCTCCATCCCCCTGGAAGCAGAGTCCTTGAGGGTTCAGTTCCCAGTGTTGTTTGTAAAGAGGGGCTTTGCTGGATGCAGCAGAGGGAGGCCTGCGGGGAGCAGAGCGCCGTGGTCTTGGGCAGGACTCACGCCTGGTCTGGCCCGCAGATGCAGGAGACCCCCCAGCACCGCCGCCCCGCGGTCGCGAGGATCAGGAGGGACGGATGCAGCTGCACCTGTCCCTGGGGCAGGAACCGGCGTGGTGCTCGGGGCTGTGCACACACACATGTCCTCGAGCCCCCGGCAGCCGTGGGAACTTGACCCGCAAAGGGAAGCACATGTTTGTTGTAAAACAGAGTGAGCAGAGCCTCTTGGGGTGGGTCACAGAGGCCACACCATACAGGAAACCTGCCAGGGTTCTGTGGGAAAGCGGTGGGAGCCCCCCAGGGCTTTGCCGGCTGTGGCCTGCAGGGGGACAGAGGGTGGTCTTGCCCCCTGTGGGAGCTGCTCCTGGGCTGCCCCCTGACCCCTGAGCGCCCACCCCCACCCCTGCAGTGTTCCCACGGCCTCCACAGGAGGAGGGAAACCCAGGGAGGACTCCACAGTCCCCGCCCCGCTGCTCCCCTGCCCCTCCCCTGCCAGCCGGGCTCACCCCTCCCAACTCCGCCCCTGCCCCCTCTCTGTTGTAGTTTCTTGTCTACTTCGTGTACTTCCTGGTGCTGTTTGGTGTCTACCTCTTGGGGGCCATGCTGGTGGTCCTGCAGCACTTCCAGGCCAGCCGCCGCGCGCCCCCGCCCCCGGAGCTGAGGAGCCCTGCCGAGGAGAAGGCCATGCAGGTGCTGAGCGAGCAGGACGGCGGCCTCAGCAGCCTGCAGCCCGAGGCCCTGCCCCTGGCCCCCCAGGAGCAGAACCAGCAGCCCGAGGCCAAAGCCTGACCCTTGGACACCAGCGGCCTCCCGCCAGCATCCTCCACGTCCTGGGGCCTTGGCATCTCAGAACAGATGCCCCCTCCACGCCCCCACAGGTGGCCCGCCCCTTGGTGTCAGCGATCCAGGTTTCCGGCCTCGTCCACGTTACAGGGTTCAGATTGTGGAGCCAGTGGTGACCAGCGGGGACCCTCCATGGTACCTCCCTGTGACCTGCACCTCGGGGGCAGCCTGCCTCAGGAGGGGCCTTGGCTTGTCCTGCAGTGGCCCGAGGACGGTGCCTCTCCGCCCTGCTTGGCGCTCTGGCCCTGTCCCCCGCCCACACGTGGTGGGCAGTGGGGATTCACATGCCCACCAGGCCTCCCCACCATCACCCCCCACCCTGGGAAGCAGGCCCTGCTTGTCCCTGGGGACCAGTGACTGGGATAGGGACTCGGGCCCCCGCAGTGCGAGGCTGGGAGCCCTGATTTGTGCGGACTGTGGCTCAGTTGTCCAGGTACTTGCTTTAGACAATGCTCTTCCTTTTTTAAAAAAATTGACCTACACGAGAAACCTTAATGGGCTCCTGTTTCTGTGGGAGAAGCTGGACACTGCCCATGGTGGGCCCTTCTATCAGGTGCATGCGGGGACGCTGGGGCCCCCGGAGCCCCACTTCTCCCCAGGCCCTGCACTGTCCTGCCTGTTCCCGAAGTGAGTTAACACTGACCTACCTCACCGGTGACTGTGGGTGGCCTGGGGCCACTCTCGTGCCAGCCCAGACGGACCTGCCCGAGTGCACCACCTCAGGGTCTGAGGGCCCGTTGTGTCCCTTCCGAGCTGCACCGTCTGCTCTCCCTGAAGGGGCTTAACCCAGAAGCCCCAGGCATGGAGGGGCTTCTGATCCTGTACTAGCCTGGCCTGTGGGTGTGGGCCTGGAGTGGGTCCCTGCCCCAGCCCCTGTCCCCGACAGGCAGGGACCCACTCCAGCCCACAGGTCCTCGGGCTGAGTACAGCCCTTCCCACAACTCCTGAGGTCTGGAGCAGCGCCCGCGCTCCCTGGGACTGGAGGGAAGGGGGCTGCTCGGAGCCATCTTGGCAGGGAGCGGTCTGAAGGACACGCTGGGCCGGGGCCGGGCTGCTGGATGGAGGAGGCCGCCGTGCGGGGAGGCCAGCGTCCACACACACTCACCCCTGGCGCCCTGTGGATGCTGAGGAGGGGGCAACGCTGTTCCCCATCCGAGCTCAGAGATCTAGCAGGACTTGGTGGGTGGAGGGGGTGAGTGTCCCCTCTGGCCCCTGAGCACATGATGCAGGGCCCTGCTGTGCGCCCCAGCCCTGGGACTCCCCTGCCCTGCCCTGCGAACCCTCCCGTCAGTGGCCGACCAGCCGCCTGGCCTCACAGCCGGTTCCATGCGCTGCGCAGCTGTGGGGGGAGGCGGGTGCAGGGCGCAGACCACCTGCGCGGCCTGGGAGCGAGAGCCTATGGGCACTGCTGGCCACCCCAGGGAGACTCCGGAGAGGAGAACGGTCTGGGGCCGCGGCAGCGTCCGTCTGTGCCCGCGTGTGGCCGCTCACGCCCACCTGTGCTCCCGCCGCATGAGCCCCCGGCCGGGATGAAGGCTCCCGGGCACCTGTCTCATGATCACGAGGCCTGCCTGCAAACCCAGCGTCCGTGTAAAGGGCCAGTTTTGTTTGGAAACCACGTTACTCTTGCGGTTTCCAGCGCTCAGGCCGCAGAGCTGCGGCGGCTTGGGGGCTTGCCTGGCACCCTTCCAGCACGGCCACCCATGGAGGAGGGACCTCTGCCGTCCCCCCCCGATGCTCAGGTGCACCTCAGAATGTCCCCTTCCATGCGCCCTCCACGTCATGTGGCCGCCTCTTGGGCTCGGCAAGGCAGGCCCCGTGGGAGCGGAGTCCTGGCTGGGGCAGGTGTGGCCATCCTATTTGCCTCTGGATTTTTTTTTTTAAGATTTTATTTATTTTACTAGAGAGCACGAGCGGGGTGGGGGTATGGGGGAGGGGCAGAGGGAGAAGCAGGCTCCCGCTGAGCAGGGAGCCCGACACGATGTGGGACTCGATCCCAGGACCCCGAGATCATGAGCTGAGCCGAAGGTAGGGGCTTCACCGACGGAGCCCCTCAGGTGCCCCACCTCTGGATGTTTGAACTCCGTGTCCTGCAAAGATGAACCAGGACCCTGGCCCTGGGCTCAGCAGGCGGGAGTTCTGGCCAGGGACCCAGGGATGGGGAGCAGCTATGAGCCCGGTTAGAAAAGGAGACCGGGCAGGGCCTGGGCCCCAGGACGGGATGCTGCTATCCCTGGGTTGTGGGCCCCTCAAAACTCCTAGCGTAGGGGCGTCTGGCTGGCTCAGTTGTTAGAGCTCTTGATCTCAGGGTCATGAGTGTGAGCCCCACCTTGGGGGTAGAGATTACTTAAGAAAAACTCCCCAAAGGCGCTGGGTGGGCCGAGCTCCACGCTGGGTGTGAGCTCATGGGTCCCTTGGGAAGCCGGTGTGGGCCAGAGAGCTGAAGGTGGGCCCCATGTGCAGGGCTGCGGAGGGAGCCACCAGCCCATGGTGGTATTGGGGCAAGGGCCAGAGCCTGGGGGGCCCTGTGGTCTGCGGTGGGAGGACGCACTGATTTGGGGAACTGCCCTGACCTGGGGGTGGCCGAGGAGAGGTGGCCCCGCCCTGCGCCCCTGGCCTGAGCCGCCCCAACAGCTCACAGCTGGGGAAGGAAGGCTGTTACTGCTTGTGCAGCCCCTGGGCCGGGTCCAGAGGAAGGGAGGCCCGCAGGAAGCCGAGGCAGCACCTGTGGGGGCCACGGAGGGGTGCAGGGGCGCCCCCACCCCCCGGGAGAGTGAGTTCCCTTGCTGTGGCCGGGGTCTAGCCCCTGGTCTGACTGGGGCCAAGAGGGAAGGGGACAGGGCCCCGTGTGAGGAGGGGAGGGGCGCGGGAGTGTCCTGGCACCAGGCTTTGTTTTAAACTTTTTAAAAAATACACTCTTTGGCTTCCTTTTATTTCTTGAGGGGTACATTAACCGTGAACCATACAGGAAAGTGTCCGGCCGGGTCCCCACCCTGGGGGGTGGGCAGAAGCTCCGGCACAGCGGCTTCTCCACTCTCCTGGCCTCCCCTCCGGCCCCATGTCCGCTTGTCTGTCTGAGCCGGCAGACCCCTACTTGGAGAAGGAGGTCATGAAGCTGTTCTCGATGCAGAGCACAATGAAGGCGTTGTGGCAGCTCGCGGCTTTCTGCGCCAGCAGCCGGCCGGCCAGCAGCGAGGACGCCTGGCCCGTGGCTGCCGCAGCCTCCGTCCGCCACGTCTCGCAGTAGCTGTCTGTCAGCCGGCGCCCACTGGGGTCTGAGCCGTGCCACACGCTCTTCTGGGGCCTGCGAGACGCAGAGGCCATCAGTCCCAGACCAGGGCCTGCCGCTCAGGGAAAACGGGGTGTTTTCTGAAGGCCCATCATGGCGGCTGGATGTGGGGCCAGGGGGAGGGCGGGGAGTCGGGGTCCTTGGTCCCTGGGGGCTCCACCTCCCCTGCCCATCTGCTTTGGGGGGCACAGCCTGGGGAGCCTACCAGGCGGGGTGCTGCAGGACATCTCTGCCGTCGAAAGAGAAGATGCGGGCCCCGGGCTTCAGCTGGCCCTCGGAGCCCGAGAATAAGGCCTCCCAGCTGGGGAACAGCACCTCGTCCTGGGGAGGGAAGTGCAGTGGGGCTTATTCCCTCCCTGGAGATGTCCTGCCAGAGGTGGGCCAGCTCGCAGGGCCCCCTTCCCAGTCCCAGATCCGGTCTGGCCCCGAGGAGCGCACAATGGTGGTCAGGAGGCGCGTAGGCCACTAAGCCCCCCATCGACGTTTCCAAACCCGAGCTCCGAGGTGGCTGCACGTGAGGGCCTGGCCCTGCGGCCTGAACCCCAAGACGCCCCCTGTGATGCACGGGACCCCTGGCAGGCGGCTGCAGGGCCTGGGGGCCGTGTGGGGGGCCCGCCCGCGCCCCAGAGCAGCCACACCCACCCTGAGGTTAACGATGGGCACGCTTGTGCGGTCGGCCCGGCGCACGATGCTGTAGAGGTCCTGCAGCCGAGAGGACAGGAAGGCGCGGAAGGTGCCGGCCAGCCCCACGGCGCGGGCCTGCTGGAAGCACTGGAAGTCCGCCCCGCGGATGCCTCGCATGCCGCCCGGCTGGGGGCTGTTCAGTGCCACCAGGTGCAGCTGTGGGGGAGAGCCACGGGATCAGCCGCCAGCCCCCACGGGGCGCCCGTGCCCCCCCCTGGGCTGAGTGTGCACCGTGCTGGGGACCCCGGGGTCCAGAGCAGCCACCCTCGGGCCACCACCCCTGCCCAGCTTCTGGCAAGTCCCTGTTGGCTCTTCCAGAGACAACCGGAGGGCAAGCCCCAGGCCCAGAGAACTGTCCCTGGCAGCCCTGGGAGTCCTTGTGAGCTGAGGGGCCGGGGAGTCCACGTGGGGGGGTCGCTCACCACAGGGTGGTAGTCCTGGTGGGTGTGGGTGTGGGTGGGCCTGCCAGTGGGGCGAGCCGGCTGGAAGTGCAGGTAGGAGCCGTGCTGTGGGGCTCCAGGGTAGGGCTGGGGGTCCAGCAGACGTGGGGGGTTGGCCAGGATGTCATCTGCCCGCCAGGGCCGCGCCGTGGAGTGGGTGAGCTCCCGCCGGGGGTACGGGTTGCCCACGGGGGGCTGCAAGGCGGCCACCTCGTTGTCCTGCAGACGGGGAGGCAGACTGTGGCAGGGGCCCTGCTCTCCTGCACGGATGGGCTGATTGCTGGCTGCCTGTCCGGCACCCCCGGGGTGTGCTCTGCGGCAGGAGAGGGCTGGCCTGGGGTTGGGGAGCTGGAGGGTGCATCCAAGGGCCCTGGGGTGCCCCGGAGAGTTACGGCAGGAGCCCTTCCAGCCCCCCCACCTCTGCACAGTCCCCCAAGCTTGCCGCTCCATAGGCCCTTGCTCCACCCCACCTCAGAGAGGCGACCGGCACCCCATCCAGTTCCCAACAGCACTGAAGGCCTTCTGACACACCGTGTGCTTTGCCTCTGCCTGGATCCCTGTGCCCTGTCTCTAGGAGCCCATGGTTAATAATCCATAATAAAGCATACCGCCTGTTATCCGCCATCTCTACCACCTGTCCCCCGCCCGGGACCTCCACGGGGCAGGGCCTTGCGTGTCCCTGACTGAAACAGTGCCTGCCATATGGGAGGGCCTGAGACCGTGCTGAGAGAATGAATGAATGAATGAATGTATGGGAGAGCGGACCTGCTGGGCTCCATGAGCCGACAGACCCGCGGAACCTGGGACGCACACCCCCTAATGCAGCCTCGGTCCTGGGCCTTTACACTCCCAAGAGCCACAGCGGTGGGAAACCCAAATATTTTGGGCCCTCCCATTCCCCCAGCCCCCCAGGGGCCCATCTCTGTGCCTGGCACTCTTGGAGGGTGGTGGGTGAGGCCCGAAGGGAGGCAGCCTCGTGGTGTGCGCACCCCGTCCCACCCCCCGCGCCCCAGGACCCCGGAGCTGTGGAGAGTAAGATGGCTCCTTACCGTCCCGCGTGGGAGCGGCGTCCGTGC